GCAGGGCAAGACTTGGCCTACGTCTTTTAAGAATAGAAAATATCCCCTCATTCTTGATGTTGATGGGCATATTTGCAGTAATCAATATGGCAGGGGTGTACATCATCACCAGCCTTCTATCTGTAGTTCATATGCTTGGTGTGCTGGGATACCACCTAAAAAAGGGCAAACCTTTTTTCAACTTGAATTTATCAGAAGTCACAAATCAGTTCAAATGGTGCAAGATATTGAGCCACTCAAATTAGTCATCTCTTTTTGTAGCATAGTGGGCTGTTACCATACATAATTTTGCAGTTCCCCAATTGTGTACACTTAAAGCAGAACTTCACCCAAAGGGGACATTCCACTTGTTTATATCCCTCCATCCTCTGCTACATTTGGCACTTTTTTTTTGGGGGGGGGGCGCAGGTTCCTGGTTTTGCAATGTACCCGCTCTCACTTCCAGTCCGATGCACAACGGTGATCTGAGCCAGAAGTTTGCATCCTTTCCCCATAGCCTTCTGGGACACTTCCTGAATCCCAGAGGACTCTGGGACCATTCACAAAGCGCAGTAGGAAACCAACCGCAAGGCTTCCCTGTCAGTTTCCCTTACATAAGATGCCGGCGCCTGCACCCGAAGCCGATTGTAGAATTGGCTAAGGTGAGGACATTTTTGGATCTCCAGACAGGTGAGTGTCATATTACAAGTCAGCTACAGGATTTGTAGCTGCTGACTTAATTTTTTCGGGAGGGCTTGTAGCTCTGCTTTAATGATTATTACATAAAGCCATTGCACCTAATTGGTTTAACCACTTGCCCTCCACAGGATTTACCCCCCTTCCTAACCAGGCCATTTTTTGCAATACGGCGCTGCGTTACTTTAACTGACAATTGCAATAAACAAACAAAAAAAAAGCCAATTTTGAGAAAAAAATATTTTTTACTTTTTGCTAAAAAACATGTCCATGAAAAAATATTAAAAAATTTCAGCATAAATTTAGGCCAAAATGTATTCCGCTACATCTCTTTGCTAAAAAAAAAAAAATCACAATACGTGTAAATTAATTGGTTTGCGTGAAAAATATGGCATCTACAAATGGCGGTGTATATATACTGGAATTTTCTTTTAAACTAGTAATGGCTGCGATCATCGACTTATAGTGGGACTGTGGCAGGCATTCTGACACTGGAGGGGGAACTGTCACTGACATCACTAGTGACACTAATACAGTGATCAGTGCTAATAAAAACAACTGACACTGTAGTAATGACACTGGGCAGGAAGGGTTTAACATCTGGTGCGATCAAAGGGTTAACTGTGTGCTGTTTTACAGTGTGCCTGTTTCACTGTGTAAGCACATTGCTTTGTATTGCTCTGCTATGCAGAATACAAAGCAATGTGCAGGAGCTGACGGGAGAGATCTGTATTGTTTACATACAGGTCTCTCCCCTGTCAGTGATACTCGGCTATAGCCAGCAGGGAATCACCTGCCGGGACCCGGTGATTGACAGTCGAGACCACAAATGGCGGAGTGGGTAGGGTGCAGTATTTTTGCTATAGGGTGGTGGGAAAGCAGTTAATGTTTCATAAGTGGTTGCAGAATTCTATGATGATCAGCCAGAGTTTTTGCTGAGCTTCTGTTAGTTTACAATTAGGTTTGGCAGATTGTTGCACTTTTACTGTACGTTAACCATTACCACACCGGGACTTCATCCTTTCTTCTTTATGAGAGTCCAGAGAACTCCAGTAAGATTTGGTTTGAACCAGGAAACAAGCCAGCTTGATTTAACCACAATCAGAAAATGATGTCAGCCATAGAATTCAGAAAATAGATTAGTGGAAGTATGACAATCAGACACATGCAGCAGGCTGCATTTCCTCCACAAATGTGAGCCTTGGATACATTGGGATATGGGTAGAACATCCAACCACCTTTTATTGTTGTATTTGATCCCAAATGTCACAACAGGAAGTGAAAGAAAATCTCTCCACTTTCAATTTGATTGGTCTCTGACAAGACAGGAAGAGAGGGTAAAATCCCCCCAAAAGTATAATTAAGAGGGTTAAAATCTGCTAAAAGTAATACGTTGGAGCCCAGTTAAAAAAAATGTCCCTCGTGTTGGTGACCAGTAGGAAGACTGCCTCTTACATTGGTGGATAAAATGTCACTTTTACAGTAAAAAAGATCATTTGTGTCATGCAGCTGGCTTTGCCAAGTGGCATTGGTTCTGGAACTGTGCAAGCACTATTGAATAGGAGGTCAGTCTCAGCTCAAGGAACCCCTAGCAACTTCTGGAAGAACCCTGGCTGAGAATGTCTGTTCTAGACTAGGAGCTCACATTTTGAAATCTTAAAGTTTTTGAGCCTGGATTTGAGTACCGATACCCAACACTGGATTGGCTGCTTTGGCAGCACCTCAATTTTTATACATGATGCATATGGAACTATGCATTACCAAAGACCAAACCAATTCAGACACTACATCATTTTAGTATTAGACCCTGGTCAGTGGAGCACAACTAATAGACCTCCACTGCTACATTTTACACTCTTGTTACCATTTTTCTTTGTAGATTTGAAATAAAGCTGCTTCACAGGAATCCAGTTTTAGAGAAAACCAGTGATGCTGGGACAATCATCAATTAAATTGATTATAATGAATACAGAGTAATATGTGTGTTCTTGTAAAGATTTTCATTACCTTGTCCAAGTGTCACATTGTGTGATGTCAGATGACCCTTCCATTATTTTTTTTCTATTTAATATAGAAATGTTTTGCCTTTAAAGAGTTTTTATCATATTATTGTAAAAATTGTAATCATGCCAGCTTTGCATCTGAAGTTATGCTGGAGGCATTGGGGGATATCATGGCATGTAATGTGAACGATGCTACTTGCTTGACCACCTCTTGTTTGTAGTTCATTCTGTCTCCTTGGCCTCACTGCTGCGGATGACAGTTGTCTATTCCCCATCGTGAGCTGGAGAAAAGTACACTAACTTCCTACAGTTCCAACTTTTTCTGTTTGTACGTTTGGATGCATTAATGTGAAAAGTAGGTCACATCTTTCCAGCACACTGCAGGTTTTTAGACGCCAGGTGACAGCAGTATAGTATGGTCAGAAAATTTGGTACCTTCACAGATTAGTTATTAAAATCTTTACAACATGCAGGATGAAATTGAACATTTTTCATCAACACAAATTCTGCTTAGATACTATATACTTGCATTTTTTATTATACATTTTAATGCCATTTATTCTTTAGAAGTCCAATACTACATCAAAGGAGGTCTGCCAAGTAAACAAAAATCAGTAAATACGTTATCAACTCTACTTATCTCAGTTACCTTTATTCATAAGCAGGGGGCTTTTAAAATGGACCCTGTTAGGTCCATAAAGTAATCCAAATACCATTATCCTGCAAAAGAAGAGCTGTTCTACTCACCTCTCCAGTGGTTCATGTGAGTTACTTTTCCCCCTTCTGGTGCTGCAGCCTCCATCAATGTATTCTTCTTTGGACACGTCCAGGATTGTTGTATTCCTGCATACCCCACTGCTGCTCCACTGTTCCTTCTGCTGACCCCTACAACACTACAGGACTGAGCAGTGATGTGTAGAGGTCAGAGGTTGAAACCATGAGTGCCAAAGGCACTACTCCCCCCGGCTAGTCTGGGGATGTAATGGCGTTCGGTATTGGCGCTCTTGGACCCCTGCTCTTTGCCCCTTTTTTTTTTTTTTTTCTTTCCTCTTTCTTCCTTTTTCTCTCTCTCTCTCTGTTTTTGGTGTGACTGGACAGCTGCATTTAGTTGTTATAGGCAGTTACATTAATGTTTTGCAACTTATGTGTCATTGATAGCCCCTGCGTGGACGTACCTTTTGCCCTGTTGGCGTTAGAGCACTGTTTTTCCTTTTTTTTATTTTGCATTTTTTTTTATCTGTGCAATTGATAGCCCCTGCGTGGGCGTGTTTTATTGCCTCAGTTTTATATTGTTTAAAAAATTAATAAAAACCATTGAAATAGAAACCATGAGTGTCAAGGCTGCAGTGTTTGAATGATAAAAAGGTAGGAAACACATACAATAAGAAGCTATCAGACAAGCTCTTTTCTTGCAGGATACATGTATTTCGATTCATTTTGGGACCTACAGACTCCTTACTATGCATAAAGGTGACTGGGATGAACAGAAATTTATTTATTGACCTGCAGAAATAGGTATGCCAGCTTTCCTCTTGCAGGTCACTAGTATTTGGTTTAATTTATTTAGGGACCTGACAGGGTTGTTAACAATAGGATTCTGTGCCCAGGCTATGGACCTTCAGGTATTTACATATTCTTAAAAAGAACTTACTGACCTCTGTAGGTGCAGGCACCATGGATCAATTAGTTCACAAGACAAGCACTGATATGATTTAAGTCTGGTCTCCCTGCTCCATCTCCCAGAGCGCCTGCTCTCTATTTGCAATAAATATTAGAACCTACATCTTTTGCTTTCAGAATCTACCAAGCTGCTATCCTCTGGCCTAGGACATGTTGAATATGGACGATACAGGTTTACAGCCTTTATCATTCTTTTGTACCTGCAGCATGGCTGGGGGAAAAATATAGGGACCTAGCAACTAAAATGACAGCAAGCTGATGTCCAGGTTCTTTTAATTCTTGCACATGCTTACCTCTTCTGTTTACTAAACCAAGTCTATGATGAAGAAAGTACGTTCCCATAGATAGCACAGAGCATCTTTTAAATAAATTACTGTCTACAAATGAAAGAGTTAAATCTGATTTATGAATGCAAACGTTATGACAGAGAAAGCCAATGCAGCTAACAGTAAACTCACAAGGTATTAAAAAAAAGACCAGTAAATCATCTCAGTATTCAGGAAAAGGGATAACATGTTATTTGTGCAGGGACAAGTGTTTAAAATGCTGCTAACAGTATCCAAAATTGGTCAGACATTCCACAATCATTAGAAGAAAATAATATGTATAAAAAGCGTCTTTAGTTTTTTTGAACAGTTTTTGATGTTACTAGCCCCGTGTTACGCTCAGTCTTTCTTTGTTCTCTTTGCTTTTGCAATGTTTTCCTGTCGTTTCTGCTTCTTCTTCTGTTCCCGTTCCTTGGCCTCAATCATTTTAGCCAGTTTCCAGGAGAGTACTGCACTTGCGATGAAGAGCGGGGTGAGGGCCAGGATCACCGTTGTAAGAAAACCATATGGGTCCTTGGCAGCCCATTCTACTATGTACTCAGCCCAGGCCTTTATATCAATCATGTCTTCAGTAGAATGTCACTGGGGAGACAGAACAGAGAACTCAAAACTGTGGCATCATAAAGCACTGTTCAATCACCACACATTTTAGATTTTTTAACTTGGGGCAATAGAAAATAAATGTAGCTTTGTACAGTTTCACCCAGACAATAAAGTGAATATTGTGCTTTTTGTTAGGTACTTGAAGTGTATCTGAACTCAAGAACAAAAATGTACTATACTGCAGTTTATTAGTCCTTCGATGCAATCGCTGCATTCATTGTTTTCAGGCTTTTTCCTTTATTTTCACCTCCTGCCAGTAACACATTTCTTCCAAGGGCGACAACACTCATGCACTTCCTGTCCTAGGGCGACCGCACTCATGCACTTCCTGTCCTAGGGCGACCGCACTCATGCACTTTCTGTCCTAGGGCGACCGCACTCATGCACTTTCTGTCCTAGGGCGACCGCACTCATGCTCTTCCTGTCCTAGGGCGACCGCACTCATGCACTTCCTGTCCTAGGGCGACCGCACTCATGCACTTCCTGTCCTAGGGCGACCGCACTCATGCTCTTCCTGTCCTAGGGCGACCGCACTCATGCTCTTCCTGTCCTAGGGCGACCGCACTCATGCTCTTCCTGTCCTAGGGCGACCGCACTCATGCTCTTCCTGTCCTAGGGCGACCGCACTCATGCACTTCCTGTCCTAGGGCGACCGCACTCATGCTCTTCCTGTCCTAGGGGACCGCACTCATGACCGCTAGGGCGACCGCATCTCTTCCTGTCCTAGGGCGACCGCACTCATGCTCTTCCTGTCCTAGGGCGACCGCACTCATGCTCTTCCTGTCCTAGGGCGACAGCACTCATTCACTGTACTGTATCTGAATGCACAGCATTGTGATCCTAGGAAGTGTGCTAGGACTACAGAACACCACCTCAACCCTATAACACAGAAGAGAAGTGTTCTGTAGTTCAGGCAGGGTTTACATCATTGAAGTTAGGAAGCTTGCTGGATTTCTAGCAGGATCAATGGGCACGTATTGATGCTCCATACACACTAGCAGTTGTTTTTCTGCTCCTAGAAGATAAATAGTGTTCTCCTATGTGTCCATGCACACTACTTTAGGCTAGCTTTTGGGAGCAGAAAAAAAAAAAAAAAATACTGTTGTAGAGTTTTTGGGAGCATTTTTCTAGCAGCAAAAGAGGCTGAACGTTCCTAAACGCTACTATAAAAACACGTCTAACAGCTTTTTTTTCTACATGCTTCTAAAACACTACTAAAATGCAACTACAAGCTGGCATAAAAACGCTATTAGCGTTTTTCATCAAGATTTTTTTTCTCTCCAGATTTTATTGAGCTTATAAAAAAATGCTAGTGTGCATGGAGCCTATGGGTTTAACATTTAATGTCATTTCAAAAGTGGTTTTAAATCTGCAGCTTTAATTAAAATAATACCTGGTGATGCTGCTGCCATAGAGGCTGTTCCATTTTGGCACTTCCTGGGAGGGGGGAGGGGTAACAATTGTTCCCTTGCACTGTCACATGCAGCACTGGTGGAGACTACAAGCAGCCATGATAATGCACATCATACAGGAATGGTCCACTAATGTCAGGGAGCCAGTCCAGAGCACTGAAAAGTAGCTGATGCTAAGAGTGAGTTCACAGGAAGTTGGTTAAAAAAAAAAGGTTGGAGATCAGCAGAACTGAGATGCAAAAAAGCATTAAAAAAAAAAAAAAAATAATAATAATACACCCGGGTTAAGCAACTTCTGCACTCTCAGCTGTGGTAAAACTACAAATCCCTGCCGCTTCCTGACCGCCCTATAGCAGAACTGCTACAGGGGCGTATATATACACGTAATTTTGCATTTCCGAGTAGGGGGCACCCACGCCACCCTACCGCGCGCCCCATTGGCGACTAGAGCTGTCGATCACCAGGTCCTGGCCGGAGATCGTGTGATCGCCGAGGAACACTGACGGGAGAGGTCTGTATGTAAACAATACAAATCTCTCCCGTCAGCACCAGCATGCTGCTTTGCATTGCTCTTATGTGCTTTGCACATAATGTGAAGCACACAGTTAACCCTTTGATCGCCCCCAGATGTTAACCCCTTCCTGCCCAGTGCCATTAGTACAGTGTCATTCTTTTTATTAGCACTGATCACTGTATTAGTGTCACTGGGGATGTCAGTGACAGTCAGTTCCCCCCCGGTATCAGAATACCTGCCACAGTCCCACTAGAAGTCGCTAATTGCCACCATTACTAGTATAAAAAAATGTATACCGCCATTTGTAGACGCTATAACTTTCACGTAAACCAATTAAATTTACGGGTATTGGGATTTTCTTTTTTAGCAAAGACATGTAGCAGAATACATTTTGGCCTAAATTTATGACGAAATTTGATTTCTGACATTTTTTTACTGGACATGTTTTATAGCAAAAAGTCATTTTTTTTTCCCTCAAAATTGTTGGTCATTTATTTTTGTATATAGCGCAAAAAATGAAAAAAAAAAAAAAAAAAAAAAAAAAAAAACGCACAGGTGATCAATTACCACTGAAAGAAAGCTCTATTTGTGGGAAAAAAAAAAGGACATAAAATTTAATTTGGGTATAGCATTGCATGACCGCGGAATTGTCAGTTAAAATAACGCAGTGCCGTATTGCAAAAAATGGCCTGATCAGGGGGGGGGGGTAAATCCTCTGGAGGACAAGTGGTTAAGCAACTTCTGCACTCCCAGCTGCAGTAAAACTACAAATCCCACCATGTCTCTACGCCTCGTTCCTTTTTTTGTCAAGAGTCTTGTGGAACTACAACTCCCATGAAGCATTCCAACAGTTGGGCGTGCCATTGTTGCCTACCCCTGTAATTCATGCTTCTGCAAACTAAATACCATCCAGTTTGGGATTGGATCTACTTTGGATTTACTCTTTTTTTTTTGCATGTGAAACATTCTTCCGAGGGAACAGCAGGTGTACAGCATTAGAACAGAAGTTATTTGTCCTGAAAATCTGGCACAATATTTACCACAGAAACTAACAGACCGAAAACCAAATGGCCATTTTTCAGAAATACAGAAGTTGAATTGGTTTGAGGCCAAAACTACGCAAACTGATTGAGAAATTTGCTTTTGGAATCGCTACCTTTGTTCTACAGGCAGCACGATAAAATGACTGCATGGATACAAAAGTATAGACAATATAAATGTAAGTGTCTCATTGTCATAGCCTACATTGTAGAATTATGTAACAATAGTAGCCTACTCTATCCTATATTAGCAGACCTCTCGGTAACACGACAGTGATGAGGAACAAGGGTCTACCTCAAGTGATGCGCTGCACCAAGCATTAACTTCATTTACCTCCTATTCTTATTGCCTGCAGGAAAGCAATCAGGCGCTCGCTTTGCCTGCACAGTTACCATAGAAATGGCACAGTATGATACAGAAGGCATGCAGGTCTTAGCTGGACAAAAAAGAATAAAAAAAGGAAGACAGTAATAGCAGCAGGGCTCACACAATCGTGTAATGGTGACACACCTGAATATAGAGAGACAATACGGAAACAAAGGAAGAGAGACAATAATAAAGTGCAAAGTCACAGAAAGCAAATATGCCTTGGATGTATACTAGGTCTGCATGAGCTCTTCATGGTCCTGTCATTGCACTATACACATCGCTCCTTAGAAAGCTCCCCACAACATAAATATAAATAAATGGTACCTACAGAGGTAAGACATGACCATCGACCATTGTACTAGTCTGCCTGTAATCTACACTCGTTCACTGTGCGCTTGCTGCTCACCAGTCCTTAGACATGGTGGCTGCATTAAAGTGAGAAGCTTAAGGTTTGTTTACCTTCAGTGTGCAGCTCCCCCCCCAATACTTTCCGAACTGGATCTCGATCCAGTGATGTGCACAGAAGCCTCGGCTCTCTCCCTCCTCATTGGCTCAGAGATAGCATCACAGCCAGCGAGGAGGCTGGGCTGAGCCCTGCTCTGTGCGTCAATGGACAAATGGAACGGGGCTCGAGAGCAAGCACGTATGAGTGCCCCCATAGGAAACTGACATAGCAGCTGGAGCCGTTGGCTCCTGCTGTCAATTACAGTCAGTGAGGAGGCAGGGCTGAGCCCTGCTTTGTGTGTCAATGGACAAACAGAATGGGGCTCGGGAGAGAGCACATACAAGTGCCCCCATAGGAAATTGACATAGCAGTGGGAGCCATTGGCTCCTGCTGTCAGTGACAGCGAGTGAGGAGGCAGGGCTGAGCCCTGCTTTGTGTGTCAATGGACAAACAGAGTGGGGCTTGGGAGCAAGCACATACGAGTGCCCCCATAGGTAACCTACATAGCAGCAGGAGCTATTGGCTCCTGCTCTCAATCACAACCAGTGAGGAAAAGTGGGTACAGTTTAAAAAATTCTGAGGTATACCTAGAATATGTGAAATAAGGAAAGGGGATAAATATAGTATTATACAGTATTTATAAAGCGCCAATAGTTTGCTCAGCGCTGTACATTACAAAGGGGGACAGAACAATACCAATACAATGCAGAACATGAGGGGATTGAGGGCCCTGCTCTTTGGAGCTTACAATCTAGGAGGGAGGGGATGGTGGCACAGGAGGAGATAGCTGTGGGGGATGGAGTGGTAGGAAGAGTGGAGGAGGTCGGTCAAGTTAGCGGGGGGTGGGGTAGGCTTCCCTGAAGAGATGGGTTTTCAGGGTGAGCCTAAAGGAGAGGAGAGTAGGTGATAATCTGATGGGTTGGGGCAGGGAGTTCCAGAGGATGGGTGACACCCTGGAGAAGTCCTGGAGGAGGGCATGGGAGGAGGAGACCAGGGAACTAGAGAGAAGGAGGTCTTGTGAGGAGCGGAGTGTGCGTGCTGGGCGGTACTTGGATATTAGGTCGGTGATGTAGTTCGGGGCAGTGTGGTGGCCGGCTTTGTACGTCAGTGTTAGGATTTTGAATTTGATCCATTGCGCAATCGGAAGCCAGTGGAGGGATTGGCAGAGGGGGGTGGCGGAGACAGAGCGGTTGGAAAG